TCAGCCATCAGATTTTCTTAATGTCTTTTTAAAATCTGCATTTATATTTTTGTTTAGTATGCATAAGCTAAGTGGCCAGTGAGGTGTGGCTGTGGTTAGACTGCATCACTTGGGGACAAATTATGCATGAATTAGCATTTTAGACAAGCACTTGTGCAATGAAAAAGAATTCTGATTCTAACCACAGGTTGCTGATGAAACACCTGCTTTAAAGGGCTTCACTTCATTAGGCTCTGTCATCGATACCTCACTTTCAATAACATCTTCCTTTGAGAATCTCTTTATGCTTATTTTTACAAATCCAAGCTGAGAAATTCCCAAATTATCCAGAAAAAGATGTCTATTGAAAGGCCTTCAAGTGATACCAAATGATGTGGTCACCAGGAAGAAAAAAAAAAGTTTATGTATTGAATGAATGCATGACTGTATTCATTCATTTAGTTATTTATTCTGGTTCTTTTACAGTAACATCAAAATCAAAATGTAGCTTGTCCCTGAAGGCTGATGCTACATACCTCCCACACTGTGCTCTGTTGCCGTGCTGTTTTCATGACCTAGCTGCCTCTGGAAGGCCTCAAAGTTGATGGATGCATCATCCTCAGATGGGCTGTGCGACAGCTGTCCACTGCCATGTCGGCAGACTTCAAAACGTACCCACTGGTAGCTAAAGAGAGGGGAGGGCACACCACAGGGGTGGGTCGCAGGCACACAGAGCTACGGCAAAAGGCTGGCAAACAGGCACCGCACTTACTGCCCGCATTTGCGTGCTCCTGGGCAGCTCTGGATCAGGTTCTGGATGGTGGGGTGGGAATATCCAAAGAATTCAGCCCCCGACGGCTGGATGGGGGACAGAGGTTTGCCACTGAGGGAGAGATGGGGGTGCAAACAACATTTAAAGAACCCTCAGTTAGATATGAGTTGAGAAAAATCAAGGAACTTCATTGTCACAGGACTAAAGTTACTATTTCTCACTCATTCCTAAAACAATACGGTCTGGCCTACACACATCCAGCAACGGTACCTTATGGCTGTGTTTGCCTTCAGAAGGTTGGCGTGGCAAGTTTGGGCAGAGGAGGCGACGATGGAATTCTGGGGGTCCTCCTCAAGAACGATCTCAAACTGGAACGGAGAGTTTTAGTCACATCTCCATGCATGTACGGATATATTAAAGGTTTTCCAGTCATTCCAAAAAACAAATCAAAACTGCAGACCAGCTTCTGAAAGTTCTAGGGACTTCAAGTGAGGAGATTTTCTGCTTTCAAATTAGTCTGCAGCAATTACATGATCTGAGCTCAGCATGTGAATGTGAGAGCCTGGGGTTACCTGGGGTCCTGCCCCCCCGTCCTTGATCTGACAAGTGTACAGGCACTGCTGCTCTGGGCTCTTCATGCTGGCAAACACACGTGTGCTGCAGAAGCCCACTGGGTAGATGGCGCTCTCGTCATGGAAGTGAGGCCTGTCGGTGATGATCTGGAACATGGACCCAGACCCAACAGCAACATCATGCTTTTGTGTCCCAGTTACAATCAAAACAATCAAAATCAAAGACTTAAACACAGTACAGTTATGCTTTACAATGGAATATCCATAACCCAAATTTCCTTCTCAAAGTCTTTTAATAATGTGAAAATTACAGCACCTTCAAAAACCCTCAGAAGCACAATAAGCCTGGTTTCTGTAGCCGAATGCTAAGAGCAGCAGATGCGGGTCGAGCCCCTGCGACACTGACCTCCCACAGACTGTAAACTGTCAGCCCTCCCAGCACAATGGGGAAGACTGGGCGCCCACAGGAGTCCAGGGGGATGGGTTGGACCAGCCAACGGACCCCTCCTTCCAGAACTTTCTTTTTCTTCGACACCTTTTTCAGGACTGAGGAAGCACACACAGTCTCACTATTTGAAGGCTGTATGGAGCAGTAATTCAGCTGCCATGCTTCATGTCCACATCTGTGCACAGATACTATTCATTTTCATATGCAGATATTTCTCAGATACTTTCGTATGATTTTCACTGGTCTTAATCAGGCATAATCACAAAGAGACCACACAGTTAATAAAGACGGCATGCTGGACATAGCGGTAATACTGTTCAAGTTCAGCAACACTGAGTAACCTGAGCAACGAATATAGAATGGAATAGAAGAGGACAGGCATACTTCATTAATCCCCATGTGGAAACACTCTTTTCGCCTACCCCATCTTGCTCTCCATGAGACTCAGTCAGGTGAGAGCAAGCTTGGGGGGCAGGGCCCCAGGAGCCGGGGGTTAAGGGCCTTGCTCTAGGGCCTACAGACATGCGACTATTCTGCCGGGGCTGGGGATTCAACAAGAGACATTCCCATTATTCCCAAAACAGCCCCTTAACCAAGAGAGTGGGCATGAGAAACAAAAAAATCTGATTACTTGGTGGACACTTGAATATTCGTAGTTTGAGACCAAAACGGGAAGAGTTGGAAGATCTGCTGTATAATTCCAATATTGACTTCCTAGGACTGACAGAGACATGGTTAACGCATTCTTCCCCGGAAGTGATAGTTAACATGCCTGGTTATAATGTTTTTAGGAAGGATAGAGAGAGTGGGAGGGGTGGGGGTGTACTAATCTATGTAAAAAATTCTCTTAGGTGTACAA